AACAGAAACACAGGGAGAAAAAAGTTTATGCAAAATTTCTCTTACCTTTTAATTCTATTTGTTTATAACTTTTTGAAGCATCATTGTATATTGTCTATTGACACAGAGTATTATATACATGTATATTCTAATACATATTAGAGAGAACATAAGAGTGTTCTCTCATTATATACAACCCTATTGCAACTAGAGTTCCCCATTCATACATACATAGATTTATGTTTTATGAAATAAATTAGTTTTTATAAAAAAGAAACCAAAACAAAACATGCTTAAACATGTGATCAATGGGTGACTGCAGGCAAGTTTCCTTAGTAATACATGTTTGGGGTGTCTTTAAAAAAAAAAAAGAAGTCAATTCAAGGCTGCGAGGTCAGATCAGAAGATTAATGCAACTGCCAAATTACCAAAGAGGTAATCTTGATAGATTTTCTTTAAGGACACGGGAAGACCCCAGGGGTTTATTACGAAGAAGTTTTAAGAACCCGAAAACTGGAGAGGTAAAAAAAAAAAGGGTAGGAAAGCTGTCCTGAGGAATTGAATTTTCTTATCATGAGAATGTACCTGATCATTCTTCAAGAGTAGGAAGAATTTTGTTAGGAAATTGTACCCCATCCAACTACACTGCTGATCCTACCTCTACACTTTCCTCTTCATCTCCTGAACTAAAAAACATTTGAAAGGAAAATGTTTGGAGGGCCTTGAGGAGGCAAACCAGTCATTTTGAAGCATGGAGTTCTGGAAGAATTACTAGCGTTGGGAATAGTCTCCAGAAGTGGGTAGGCTTTGGAGGCGATATCAGTAATCCATGTTTTTATTTTTAAAATAAAAGGTTTTGTGATCTTGCAGTAATGCTTTTTGGCTGATCCATGTAGATGTAATTAAATGCATATATAAGAGCGATTGGAAAGTCTTTTCCAGTGTGTTATTCTTGCATTTCTACCTTTCATTGTTTTATGCTACTTTACAAATAAGTTGTAGAAATGGATAGTTATATAGTTATAGAAATATAAACTACTTATGCTCAGTGAGATGAAAATGGTTATTGCTCTAAAGAAAGACATTTTGCTTATATTTACAAAAACCTTTCAGAATTGTTATATGCTTCTATATGTGATTCTTTGATTCTCTTAACAAGTTGTATCAGTTTACTGACTTTCTCATCATTTAATTAGATAAAAGCACTGGTAGGTGTATATTTCTTATTTGTATGAGAGTCATAATTCACTTCTTTAATTTAGCTATACATTCTTGTTTTCTATATTTTTCTTTCAACCATATGCTACCAAATGATACAATAGAAAAAGGAGAATCTGTACACCTTTTGTTTTTAGGGCCCGTTTCTCTTCTTTTGGCATTAGAGGTACATTCCTAGCATAAAAATATAATTTAATACCTTCTTAATTGGTTTGTAGAATTTATTTACTGGTTTATTGAAGACTCGAGAAGATAGTACAGATATGTTAACTAGTTTTAAGATATCTTATACTACAGACTAAGAAAATGTGGTAATACTTCCCCATATAAATGCTGAAGATGAATGTGTGCATAAGTAAGTGTGGTGAAGAAGGCTGATGGTGCCCGGCTATCAAAAGATAGGGGTCTTAAAGGTTTGAAAGTAAACAAGCGGCCATCTAGCCCAGAAGCAACAAAGCCCACATGAAAGCAGCACACCAACATGTATGATCATGAAGTGTCGAGAGGACCAGGTATCAAGCACCAAAGGCAGGGGGAAAAAAATCATATCATCATGAATGAGGGGAGCGCATCATGAGGACCCAATGCCCATCTGTAGACCACTGGACATCCTTTGCAGAGGGGTATTGGGGAGGAGATGAGTTCAGTGTAGCAATAATGCAACTCACAACCTTCCTCTAGTTCTTAAACACTTCCTCCCCACCACTATCATCATACCAATTCTACCTTGCAAATCTGGTTAGACCAGAGGATGCACAGCGGTACAGATGGGAACTGGAAACACAGGGAATCCAGGACAGATGAACCCCT